TGTCCATTTATGTTTCATGTATTTTGACAATCTGTTAGGTGTACATATACATTTATAATTATTGTATCTTCTTAATATATTGACTTTTGGTTATGAAATGTTCCTCTTTCTCTCCAGTAATATTCCTCTCCTTAAAGTGTATTGCGTTTAACATAGCCACTCAAACTCTCTATGATTAACTGTTTGCAGGGTACATCTTTTCCTATCCTTCTACATTCAACCTATTTGTGTCTATGAATCTAAAGTGTACTTGACTCTTACAGACAACGTAGTCAAATCTTGATTTTTATGCAATCTGACAATATCTGCCTTTTTTTAAAGATTTTATTTATTTATTTGAGAGAGAGAGAGTGAAAGAGAGCATGAGAGAGGAGAAGGTCAGAGGGAGAAGCAGACTCCCCATGGAGCTGAGAGCCTGACGCAGGACTCAATCCTGGTACTCTGGGATCATGACCTGAGCCGAAGGCAGTTGCTTAACCAACTGAGCCACCCTGGTGCCCGTAATATCTGTCTTTTGACTCAGGAGTTTAGTCTATTCATATTTAATGTAATAATTGATATACCTGTATTTTTATCATTTTGCCATTTATTTTCTGCATGTATGGTTTTTGTCCCTCTGTTTCTCCTTTATTGACTTCTTTGGTTAAACAATCTTTTTGTGTATATTTAATCCCTCTATTGATATTTTAAACTATATATTTTAAATCATTTTCTCAGAGATTTTTCCAAGGATCGCAGTATGAATCTTTAACTTAGGTTAATACTGACTTAATTCCAATAAAATCAATTGCTACAATATAGCTTCATTTCCTTCTCCTTGTCTTTGCACTATTATCATCATATATATTGCATTTACCTATGTTATAAATCCAATAATAGGATTATAAATATTGCTTTAAACAATCTTATATTTAGGGGCACCTGGGTGGCTCAGTCATTAAGCGTTAGCCTTTGGCTCATGTCATGATCCCATGGTCCTGGGATCAAGCCGTGCATCAGGCTCCCTGCTTGGGGGGAAGTCTTTTTCTCCTTCTCCCATTCCCCCTGCTTGTGTTCCCTCTCTCACTGTCTCACTCTGTCAAATAAATTTAAAAACTCTTTTTAAAAAATCTTATATTTGTTAAAGAAATTGAGAGAAAATATGTTTATATAAATGCTTTTCTTCTTTTAATTATATATATGCATATACATATATGTATACACAAACACATACACAGTCTTTTATATTTTCCTCCATATTAACCCTATCCAGTATTCTTCCATTCCTTCCTATATTTTCTAATTACCATATGCCATTTTCACTCATCCCAAAGGATTTCCTTTAGTTTTCCTGTAGGGGAGGTCTACTAGCAAAGATCTCTCTCACTTTTTGTTTACCTATGGATATCTTTATTCCACTTTTGTTTTGGAAGGATAGCTTTATTAGATATAGAATCATTAGTTGATTGGTTTTTTTTGTTGTTTTGTTTTGCTTTTTGCTTCTGCCTTCAGGCTTCTATTATTTTTAATGAGAAATCAGCTAGTAACTATATTTTTTGTTTCTCTTTTCATTAGGTTGCTTTTAAGACTTTCACTTTTTCATTGTCTTTCAGCAGTTTGACTATAACATGTCTCTGTGTGATTCTTTTCATGATTACCCTACTTGAGCTGTCGAACCTTTTAGAGCTATACATTAATGTTTTTCATCACATTTGGGAGGTTTCAACCCTATTTCTTTGAAAAAAATTTTCTATCCAGTTCTCTCTCCACTCACTTTTTAGGACTCCCATTAAATGTATATTGGTATACTTTATGGCTTAAAGTATTTTAAAGTTCTGTTCATTATTCTTTAGTCATTTTTCTCTCTCTTCTTTGGACTGGGTAATTTCTATTGATCTGCCTTCAAATTCACTGTTTCTTCTGCCATTTCAAATCTACTATTAAGCCCACCCAGATAATTGCTCATTTGAATTATTTGGTTTTACAACTATAGAATTTTCATTTGTTTTTTTATGGTAGTTTCTATTTTTTATTAAGATTTGCTATTTGTTGAATCATTGTAATCATATTTTCTTCTGGTTCTATGAACATGGTAGCCTTTAATTCTGTGGCTATGATTTTATTAGCTTCTTGAAGTCTTTGTCTATCAACTCCAATATGTGGTCCCACTCAGAGTTGGTTTCTGTTCCTACATTTTTCCCTCAGTACATCTCTTTGCCTTGTGTCATGATAATTTGTTGAAAGTTGATTATTTTGAAGATGTATTGTAACAACAAATCTGTTTAATTTTACTACTTTTTAAAATATTTTATTTATTTATTTGACAGAGAGCTAGAGACAGAGCACAAGTAAGCAGAGTGGCAGGGAGAGGCGGAGAGAGGGAAGCAGGCTCTCTACTGAGCAGGGAGCCCGATGTGGGGCTCGATCCCAGGACCCTGGAATCACAACCCAAGCCAAAGGCAGAGGCCTAATGACTGAGCCACCCAGGCGCCCCAATTTTACTACTTTTTTAAGAAGTAATTTGCCTGGATTTACATTGTGGAATCTTTCTCACTGCAGTGTATGGCTATTGGTATCTCCACTTAATTTTTAGTTCTAACTTTTATCTTATAGCTTGGATTGCTAGGGGTCATCCCTGTGCTTGAATAGCTTAGTGGTTAATTTATCATATGGGCAGAGGTTATGCTCAAACCTTAAGCCCCTAAGGCTTCTATCTATGTATAGGCTGGAAAGCACATTCAAAGACTCAGTAGGTTCTCAAATATGCCTTGGATTTTACTTTCTTCTAGGCTCATCCAGTGTCCCATGTGCATGGTTTCCCAGTAGGCCAGAGAATTGTGGAGAGCTTTTCTAGCCCTGTTATTTCTCTCTTATTTCCAGGGTACAAAGTATTAAATTTCTGGCTAAGATACCCTTTACCATATCTGAGACTGCCACCTCTGGCCCAAAAATGTGCAGGTTTTTCTTGTTTCTTACCAAGTTTGACTATTTTAGGATTTTTATCTCTCCATACTCAAAACAAGTGCCCCCCCTCTGACAGCAAAGCTGCCATTTTCCCCAGGCAGGCCCATACAGATTAAACTGTTGTTGCTCTTTCCAACCAAGCTGGGGTGGTTGGAGAGGTGGAGCTTGGGTGGGGTGGGTGGGGGGAGACTTCAGGCAGAAAGGCCTCAGAAGACCTCATACTCTTCTCAATTAGCAGTTTTTCAGGAATAAATGCTTCTCAGTGCTTTTGGTTTATTTCCAGAGTCCTGAAATGAGTATTTTAACAATTTTATGCAGAGGATTCATTAGCCATTGCATGCTGCCATACCCACTGGTAGCATATAATTTTGAAAGAACAGGAAACCATATGCTCCAGATCCTTTGTTTTTAATAAAAATATATACTAGACATTCCTTGAAGCCCCCTTCTAAGCCTATGATTTCACAATTACCTCCCCTGACTAAAAAGAAGAAAAATGGCCCAGGCAATTTTGTATCTGAGACCGTTTCCAAAAGCCTACTCTTTCTCTAACTCTTCAGGGATCTTGGATTTGTATCTTTGCCTTATATGTGTTTCTCAGTATGAACAAATACACTGTTTGGAGCACTGTTCAAGCATGATAAATGGGAAATAATTTGTAAATCATCATAAACTCTCTAAAAGAGGCTTAAGAATTAGAAGATATATAGTGATATCTATAAGGGAGGATATGCTTTAAGCATATTTTACAATTTTGGAAAGATTTAAAATTTATTATGTGAATTAGGGAAATCAAGAGCTTTAAAGTCTGTGAAATTACGGTAATTTTTTTCATTTTTAAATTCTCTTCAAAGGATTTTTGCTTAAAGTATATTTTCCCTCTTTCTTTTTTTATCATTTTCTTTACTAGCATATTCTTGCCTTAGTGAAAAAGGCTGCTATAAAAATCTAATGCTGCTTTATTAACAATAATAAATCATTCCTCTTATACACCAACAGTTTTAATTACCCCTCCTTTCCTAGAAGCGAAACTCTATGAGATAGAGCAAGAAAGAGCAAGAGAAAATAACTTGCTTCTCTAAGTCATCCTGTAACACAACACATAGGCTTAAGATGAATGAGACCTCCCAAGGTTTTAAAAGATGGTTAAGTACTCATGACTGGTACCAAGAAAGAGGTTTCTCATACATTTCTTATTATGAAAATCTGTTTTTATTCTCCCTTATGGTCCTCAAGATGCAGAAATGGATTCTGCCTTTCTTGATAATGCAAACACTTTCTTTGCCTTGTTCAAGTTATTTCCTACAGTGCTATTTCTGTCATGTTCAATTTTCTATATTGCTATGATAGCATTTGCTACTGGTTACTAAATTTGACAACATATTTATTCTTACAACATCAGAACATTAACTGACCTAATTCTTAAAAACTACCAAAAAGAGTGCGGAGGATTCCCTTCTCCAAACCACAGTATGATGGTTTGGAGCACCAACCATCCCTGGCAAACATCATCTGAGACAACAACCCCCAGATTATATGCTTATTGAGATACTAAACTGAAGCTTAATAGTGTTTAGCCACCTAAGTTTAATAGCAACCAAAGAGGAGTAAGCCCAATAAAAAGGTAACCAGTGGACAGTGTAAAAAACCTAGGACAGTACAGAATTACATACACTTAGCATATATACAGCAGGAAATATTAGGTCATTCCTATAACTTCTAGATAGCATTTAATAATTTTAAAATGCCATCTATCTTTTAACTCAAAAATAGGGAGGGGGGACGGAGAGCAGATTTTCCCTGGTCCTATATTCAAGGACAATGATCAAACACCATTTTGTTTTCCAGAGGTTTCTGCCTTCTGTCTTCCTGCTGGGTATGGTACAGATCAACCCTCTGGACAAAGAGGTCTATTAAGGATGCCCCTCTGGGGCCTGTCCACATAGTTCTTAATGTGGTTTCCAGAAGAATATGTGAAGGGAATGAAGTAGGATCTTTAAGTGAGAAGAAAATCCCCCTCTCTCCCTCTGAGGTAAGTATAGAAACATTGTTCTCACCTGATGGAAGAGAGGGCTGTGTGTCACAGGGATTCCCAACCCACTAAAGCACATCCCTAGGACCATATCGTCGGGGGCATCATGGCTGTAGCAGCGACATTTACTGGCGAGAAGTCTCCTGATTGCTTCTCTGCTGAAGACCATTCTAGTGGGAAGCCAGAGCAGACAGAGAAAAGGGTTAGAGCAGCAGGTCCTCCAGACCTTTAATCTCAATAAAGAAATAGAGTTCAGAGGCCACATTCTTGATAAAGATGTTGACATCAGCAGTGTTTTATGTTTAATAGTTATTCTGGGGAAGATGTTTTGTGCTTTTGATGAAAGGAAAATTTGCTTTGAAGACGCCTATACATATCTAACAGGCAATTTTATTTCCTTATATAGTTTTCACAAATGAATATTCTACAATGTTCTTTTCCTAATCTGTCAATGGAAAATTAGAATAGTTCTTCAGTTTTAGCACTCTTAATGAGGTCAATAGCAAAATCCACCAACATTCCCAGCAAGTAGATGGGCCCATTAATACAGGTGATGACTGACAGTGAGATCAAATCTAACTGAAACAACCAGGCATTGTCCAAGTGACTCCAGGCTATGAAAGTTCCCTTAAGGTGACTTTGAGAAAGAGAAACAAGAGAGAGACAGTGAGAGAGGGAGACTGAGTTGCCTCAAATAGAGCTATGATGCTACTTGACCTGGTATGCTGGGTACTTTCTGGTGGGACTAATGCCCAATCCTGCCATTCTGTGCCCTCCTTGGATCTTCAGGAGGCTGGAAACTGTAAAATAATATTTTCCAGACTCCCTTGCCAGCTAAGACCCAGCTTCATTCTGACAATGAGGGGCATAATACTGGGGGAGGCCGTCCACTTCTGGCTCCGGCAGTCTCCGTGGTGAGGCAGGCGATGGGGGACAACTCTGGGGCAACAGAATGTTGGTAACAGAACCACAGCGGCCGTGGGGAGCCAGTGCGAGGACTGGCTCAGACACAGTGTTGAGACCCAAAAGCAGAAGCGGCTAGAGCAATCCACACGAACAGGCTCCAGAACACAGCCTTTGCTCTGCTCTTCCAGCCTACAGGGCTGTAGCAGCTTTCTATAGTTACTGAGTTCTCAGTAGAACCCCTGGCACCGTTTTATTCCTCTGGCCCTTCCCAACACTTCGGCACCAAGTTCTTTTTGAAATACAGATTGGTCCTAAAATACAGGACTATTCCGGCCCTATGGTAGTAATGGCTTTTCTCATAGTATGAATAATCCAATAGCTGACAGGGCTGAAGGGACTAATATGGTTCACAAATTCATTCCCAGTAAGCGACAATTTCCTTTAAGGCAAAACTGTCTATAATTTATCCACGTATTTCCAGAGCCAAATGCAGGGAATTGCGCACAATAAGTACTCAGCAGAATTTGATGCATCAAAGAAGTAAGAATAAAGCTGCCTTTACCAAGATGTTCTTCCAGGGGGAGGGGAAGTAGTTCTATGAATCAGTCTAGTGGGAAGGAAAAAAGGACAAAGACCTTGAAGACAATCCCTCATGCGAAATGTTGATTGCATACTCAGCTGGGGGTTTAACTCGCTTTAACTCGGTTCAGTGACCACGCGCTGGTGATGCAACGCACACAAGGAGGGCCTCTCCCTGCCCTGGCCAACATGTCAGAGGACACGGTGAAACAAGACCAGACAAGAGGGAAAAGCAGCTGTTTAAGTTGATACAAGAAAATAGGACCGTACCTGAGGAAAAAACACAGTTCTTGTGAACTCTACGAAAAGGAAAACTCCATGTTTGAAAACACACCAGAAATTCTCTTTCTCTCTGAGTCTAGGGCCCATAAGGGACTGGGATAGCACCTTCGTATGGGTCAAACCCCCACTCATCTACCTGATCCCAGGAAGAGAGCCTACGTAAGGGAATATGCACCTGCCAGAGACAGACCCTTAAACATCTATCCAAGGCCACATTAAGGGGAATTTCCCAAGTAAGTATAATGCAGTTGACCTTGAACAATGCTGTGTTGAGGGGCCAGCCCCACGTGCAGTTTAAAATCTGATCCGACTTTTTTGACTCCCCTATAAGTTACCTACTGATAGTCTACTATTGGCCTTACTTAGGTAAGATAAATAGTCAATTAATACATTGTATGTTATATATATTATAAACTGTATTCTTACAATAAAGTAAGCTATGGAAAAGAAAATGTTATGAAGAAAATTATAAGGAAGAGCAAATACATTTACAGTACTATACTGTATTTATGAAAAAAAATCTGCATATAAGAGAAACTGCCCAGTTCAAACCCATATTGTTCAAGAGCCAACTGTACTTGTATTCCAATCAGAGCTCTCATCATCTTTATCTTAAGCCTGATTTAAATAAAAGACTTTATTTTTTTCTTTCGTCAGCATCTAACAGAATAAGAAAGAAAAGGAAGGCCCACTGTTTTATCGTGGCCCACTCTCTGAAAAGTTAACTTTACAGGAAGATAAAAGGTAAGCATAAAATCTTTATTAGTAATTTTTTTCCTATTTTTTCCCTACTCACACAGAACAGTCGTACATTAATTATTCACACAAACTAAGCACACACGAGCCTTTAATAAGACGTGCTTATTAGTATGCTGATGGGTCATTTAAAAATGAAGTTGTCCCCCAAAATGGAAAAGTACCAGACATATCACAGTATGTCTGCTCTGCCCAACTTTTAAATATTAAAAAGATGTTGAGAGGCTATAAGACCAATAATGTGATTTCTTTTAATATACACACTCTAATTTTAAGCAGAAGAAAAACTGAAATGGGAAGCAGGGGCTTGCCCAAGTCCGTGCGTGCAGAGGAAGAGCACATACAGAAGGTGAAGGGCATCAGAAACGTGCCTGCCTCTCCCAGTCTTCCAGCAGAGGAAGAGGTCAGGACTGTCTCCGGGTAACACTGTCCTCAGCCCCTTCGAGGAGGCTGCCAAAGAATATGAGGACATCCTGATCATAGCTTCCTACTCAGACATAGGTAAGTATTTCAAAAAGAAAGCAGTTATTGAATAAACTGCCTGCAAATACCTGAACATTCAAGGAGTAAGCAATGAAACGAACGCCAGGCACCTGCATTCAAATCCTGCAAAGGTCTCATTTTCCAAACAATACGGAATACCTACACATAAATCACTGTGGAGCCTACACTCCCGATTCAGCTCTGCTTCGTGGGGCAGAAGGGAGATGGTTGAAGGCAAGGCTTTACAAAAACTTAACTTGACTGTAAACCACAGCGAGAACACAAGAAACACATTTCATACTACAACCATTTTTATGTGTTGTGTGTATATAAAACTGAAACAATATTTCATGAAACAACATACACCCCTACTACATGTGATACACTATGATATTTCTATGTTATTCTATTCCATTTTATAGTTCATTATTTTTAAATGATGGTCATGATCCATTCATTGGTTTTATAAGCCATTGATTGATCCTGACTTGCTGTTTACAAAAAAATTCATGCTGGTTCTTAAGCTAGATCATCAGAAAAGTCTACTGAGAAATCATTTAACATGATGTCTGCAGCTTTCTTCAAAGGCTGATAGGAGACAATCTTGTGATAAATGTTTCTGCATCTTTGTAAAAGTGCTATTAAAAACAGAATATTACACCAGTCATTAGTTATACAAAGACCAATGCTCAGTGTTCATGCATTTGTTTATTCATTTACTCATTGTACCTGGTAAAAAAAAAAAAAAGAGTCCCTATGCTAGCAAGTGAGGATATAATGAGAAATGAGACACAGGTGTTGCCTTCAAATAATTCATAATTTAGGTAGAAAACAGAAAGGTAAATAGGCAATTAAATGATAATGGTTTGCATAATATGCTATGAAAGTACATTTGAAAGGCATCAAACCCAGATTTGAAAGGCCAGACTAGGCCAAAAGCTTCCAGGAATAAATAATAGCTTTATTGTGTCCAAAAAAATGAGAAGGATGAACTGGGTGACAAAGAAAATTGGGGAGGGGATACAGTGCTATACAGATACCGGCAGATGCCAATCTTGGGGAAGAGGAAAGAAGAAATGCCTCCGAGGAACTAAAATAAGATGAGGGTGCAGGTGAACGACGCTAGAAAAGTAAAAGAGCATCTGGCAAGGTCATCAGAGGCCCGGTAAGTCTTTTTTTTTTTTTTTTTTTAAACATATAATGTATTATTTGCCCCAGCCCCGTGAATCATCAGGCTTACACAATTCACAGCACTCACCATAGCACATACCCTCCCCAATGTCCACAACCCAGACACCTTTTCCCTCTCCCTCCACTCCCCAGCAACCCTCAGTTTGTTTCCTGAGATTAAGATTGTCTTATAGTTTGTCTCCCTCCCTGGTCCCATCTTGTTTCATTTTTTCCCTCCCTTCCCCCATGACCCTCTGACCTGCCTCTCAAATTCCTCATGTCAGAGAAATCATACAATAATTGTGTTTCTCTGATTGACTTATTTCGCTCAGGATGATACCTTCTAGTTCCATCCATGTTGTTGCAAATGGCAAGATTTCCTTTCTTTTGATGGCTGCATAGTATTCCATTGTATATATATATATACCACATCTTCTTTATCCATTCATCTGTTGATGGACATCTAGGTTCTTTCCATAGTTTGGCTATTGTGAACATTGCTGCTGTAAACGTTTGGGTACACATGCCCCTTTAGATCACTACTTTTGTATCTTTGGGGTAAATACCCAGTAGTGCAATTGCTGGGTTGTAGGGTAGCTCTATTTTCAACTTTTTGAGGAACCTCCATACTGTTTTCCAGAGTGGCTGCAGCAGCTTGCATTCCCACCAACAGTGTAAGGCCCGGTAAGTCTTGATGAGGAATTTGGACTTTATTCCAAAGGTAACAGGAGGTTATACAGGAATGCAAAAGATTTTTACTTCCCATGGCAATGCAAAAAAAAAAAAAAAAAAAAAAAAAGTTTAAGTCACATTAACCAACAGAATTGTTGAAGAGATCAATGATATGAAACCCAGACGAACTAATTTCTAGAGAGAGGAATCCTTCCCAGGTGGGTAGCAAGCTACGGCAGCTTTCAGGGACAAGCTGGGTCAGAGGGCAGGAGGGAGGAGAAAAGACCAACCAGCTAGAGGCATTAGCCCCAAGTCCGTGGACCCGGCAAACCAGCAGTGATTAAAATGAGGCCTAATCCCAGGCCAGCATGATTTCTATAGGAATCCAGAAGTCTATCTTAGATGCCAACAGTAAGCAAGAGTTCATAGTCTTGGGGAAGAACAAAAGCAATGGAAGTGAGGGAAGGTCTCTGTGCAGGAGGGCCACAGGATTAGACGTGATTGTGGAAAGACCTCTCTGGCTACAGTGTGGTCGACAGCAAGGAGCAGAGAAGATGAGCTGTGGCAGGAGCACACATGTAAGAGGTAGGGTGACCTCAACTAGCCCTGGGGAGGTGGAGACATAAGTGGTACTTAGGAGACAAAACTGACTGGGTTGACTGAAAGGTCCTGGGGAATGAGGGAGAAAGGATAAAACAGACTCACAAGTCTCTAGGGTAGAACTCGAGATTCCATGTGTTCCCTGAGGCAAGACTACTGGAAAAACACTAAAGCAGGGGCTAGAGTCAGAGGATGAGGTCAGGGTGTCAGTGATGGGTCTCAGGTCCTGTGAATCACCCCAGTGGACATGGCCTCTGGCAGGTAGAGGTAGGAATCCGAAGGTCAGAAGGGAGGTGTAGCAGGGGATAGAGGTTTGGGTGCCTTCAGCACAGTCATAGGGGTGGATAAGATCACCAAGGAGAATACAGAGTGAGAACAGAAGGAATACCAGAAAAGATGCCTGGAAAACATAGCCATTTAAAGGAGAGGAAAAAGGACCCAAGAAGGAATGATCAGAAAGGCAAGAACACACAAGGATAGGACACTGTTCTGGAAAGCAAGAGAAAGGAGCACTTTAAGGAGTAAGTAGTCACCTTTGTCAAAGGAACCAAGAGGTTAAACAAGAGAAAGGTTGGAATTAGCCACTGGACATGGCTATATAGACACAGCCACAGACCTCCTCAGCAAGGTGGTCTAGGTTGAAGGCCAAGCATGGGGGTCAGATGGAAGTGGGGGCTGGGGAAGAAGAGATCATGAATCATGGATTCTGAAGATGAATGGAAGGGGAGATGAGGGAGGGTGGCAGGAAGGAGTATTAATATGGGAAAACTGGAGGTGGTGGGAAGTCCACAGGAGCAAGGTAGAAGCTGAACACATAAGAGGTTAAAGGTGCTATCTCAGTGCTTACAGTGACCACCATGGGACTGGGAATGGGAGCAGTGACACTCATGCAATGCTTCTGCCAATCTGGCACTAGCCTGTGAGCTCCCATAAGGAAGGAACTGTGGCTTTTGTTTGCATCCCCCCCACTGCCCCGCCATGCCCACACCCACTAGGCTCATGGAGTGAATGAGCAACCCCCTGGAGTGATGAAAGGCAATGCTGGCTGGGTGAGGTCAAGTGCCATTTCAGGCTTCAGGGGCCAGTCTGTCTCAGAAACAACAGTGAAATCCAACAGGCAAGGAAGACAAGAAGATAGTTTTCTTGACAAGAAGTCACTTTTGTGTTAAAAGTATATTAACACCTATGTAGCTATAATAAAATATACAAACACATATTCAAATAACAGGACCCTTTCAAAGGTAGGAAGTTCTTACTCAACAGATACCATGCCCTGATCCTTGACTAGCCCCAGTACCTCACCCACTAAAAACTAAATGCATTACCATAAGGCTGCACATAGCTTGAGCTTTTTTTTTTTTCTTTTTTTTAAAGAAGAGATCAATACTCCTTGGCCTTCCCTTTAGTGTCTTCTCGAAGGCCTACCTGCACCCGCATCTCCTGATGCTAATGACCTCAGGTAGAGGCACGTCACTGCTCAACAAAGATCAGTACGCCTATCCAGGCTTGGGTATCTCTATGAAAGAGCCACGTCCATAGCCATGTTCTATTTTTTTATTATTATTTCACCATAGCACATATTCTCCCCAACATCCATCACCCAGCCACCCCATTCCTCCCACCCCTCCTCCTCTCCAGCAATCCTCAGTTTGTTTCCCAAGATTAAGAGTCTCTTACGGTTTGTCTCCCTCTCTGGTTTCATCTTGTTTCTTTTTTTCCCTCCCTTCCCCTATGATCCTCTGTCTTTTTCTCAAATTCCTCATATCAGTGAGATCATATGATAACTGTCTTTCTCTGATTGACTTATTTCACTTAGCATGATATCGTCTAGTTCCACCAATGTTGTTGCAAATGGCAAGATTTCTTTTGCCATTTTTTGATGGCTGCATAGTATTTTTTGATGGCTACACAGTATTCCATTGCATATATCTTCTTTATTCATTCATTTGTTGATGGACACATCTTCTTTATCCATTCATCTGTTGATGGACAGCTGGGCTCTGTCCATAGTTTGGCTATTGTGGACATTGCTGCTATAAACATTCGGGTGCATGTGCCCCTTCGGATCACTACATTTGTATCTTTAGGGTAAATACCCAGTAGTGTGATTGCTGGGTCGTAGGGTAGCTCTGTTTTCAACTTTTTTGAGGAAACTCCATATTGTTTTCCAGAGTCATAGCCATGTTCTATTAACCACTGAATCAGCTAGACCACACCAGAACCCCTGGAATGTGATTCTGGAGGTCCCACACTAGGAACCATTCTGATCTAAGGGATTGCAAAGTAAGAATATAAAGTCCTGACCCTTCAGAGGTTTAGAAACCAGTGCCAAGAATGTTGCTCAGCACATGGTGGATATTCAGCAAATACCTGTTGAATGACTTTAAATGACTTTAAATCACTATAGTTGATCCTCCCTACATACCCCAATAGCAAAGACTACAGAAATAATAGAAAGACTAATTGCTCAATTGATTTACCCATATAAATCAAATCAAAATCTTCCCCACAAGAGATTAGGCAAATGCTCATTTAAAAATATTGACTTTTCACTGGTATTTAAAACCTATCAATCCTACACAAATATCACTTAATAACTTAAGGTCAAACTCTTTTCTGAAATGTGATTTATTAGCACCAGGTAATTTAAAAATCTAAGGACTTATTTTTCTGACCATAAAATCTATATCCAAATTTCTTTTTTCATTTAAACAATCAAAACTAATTGGCTACCTAGGAATAATCATTCCTATAGGGACCAAGTACCTTGGTCTCTACCAAGAACCTTGACAACCATTTATATTTCTTCATGGAGTAAAATATTCTTTAGCATGGGTTCTTTTCATAGTTCACAAATTTAATGTTCACTGTCCTATGACAGAAACATATAGAGAGTATGCTGGTATCAAGACCACTGCCACAGACCGAGCCCTGTATCGTGGAAAGAGAAGTTCATGCTGAAAGTACGTGCAGAAAGCTATGCTCATAGTTACCCTCCTCCTCCCGTGATGTAGCTGTAGCCGCCAGTGCCCAGGCCATAACCATACCGCTCTCCCAGAAACACCGGTTCGCTTGAGTCGTAACAGCTAAGCAAGTGTCGGAGCCTGGAGATGCTGAAATTCCAAAGGGAACAATAATGACTTAACTCCGAAGTGTGTTCATGGTAAAGAGTTTATGATTCTTACACCCCACTGGTCATACTATAGAATTATATGTATATATCTACAATTATAATAACACTATGAAATCATTTAGAGATGAAATTCAGTGATTTACAGAAGAAACGCATTTTTTCAAAAAGAGAAAAAAAATCGATGGACTCTGTATATGCCTGGCAACAGGAGAGAACCTAAAAAACAAGGGGCTCCCCAGTTTTAATAAGCCACTGCCAGAACATGGCTGCCTAGTTTGGGTGAAGGGGGCAGCAGGTTAATGAAGTAAAGGTTGCCGATGGACCGCTTAGCTCACTTCTACCAGTCCTGTTTCTCAGTAAGTGTGAACCAACTGTAACATCTTTTCGGGTGTATTTGGTGTGGGAGTGCTGACAACACTGACTCCATCTCCCGCCCTCCATCTTGGTCTCACCTGTAGGGCGCAGGTGGCACCACTTTAGATAACTACCCTGTGATGGGACCACGCCTCTCACGCCATAAAAGCTGGGGATTACGGTCTGGATATTAGCAGAGAATTGCTGCATATTGCCATCCCGACCGAACCACCAACCAACCCACGGTAAGCTGTCCTGAGTAAAACCGTGTGAACAGGATGGAGTGGCTTCTTCCATTTTCAGTATTAAAGTGCCTTCTCAGTCTGGAGGATACATGACTGACCCTCCTCCACCTTCTAACACTTGGTGTTGTGGGAGGATACTGAAAATCAAACAAGCCATGGGTGAAGGGGCTATGCCGGGGGAAGCCCATTGTCCGTGAAGGAAACCCCAAGCGGTTTAGCTACCACCCTGTGGGCAGACTTGGCCTGGACTTCTGCGCGTTTCAGACCAGTGTGTGAGGACAGGGATGCCCTAAAAAAAACCCTATCTGAAACGGTGGGTGTTAGGACTGTGGGATACTGGAGAACATGGTATAGTGGTAAATAGATTTGAGACATCAGAAATGGCCTAAGCCGCTGCTCAGCCTGCCTTGTGACAAAGATTATACACTGCAGGCATAGTGAGAGCTGCAGGCACTTAACTAATCTGATTGGGTAAATGCTAGCATTAAGAAAACCTGGCCTAACAAGGAGGCCGTTCCCTCCGTTGCACCGGACCTCTATGGAAGAACTGGGGATGAAACATGCCATTTCCACCCAGCATTTTGGTGGCCCAAATGAAAAATTACTTTCCTCTTGTACGAATGTCCATATCTCACGGTCAGCCCCACAGGCTAGGTATGGGACTTCAGTATCCATTCTTGTCCCTGGGGTTAAACGTCCAACTGCTATAATAGCCCCTATAATGGCAGACTTACATGAAACCGAAAGAGAGATCAACTGAAAAACAGGGAAAAATAAAGGATCCTCCCAATGATAAAATGGTGGAAAGGGGGCCTATCAAGAGCTTGTAAACAACAGTAGCAAGATCTAGTATTTGGAAGGGGAGGTGAACAATGAGAGACTATGGACTCTGAAAAACAATCTGTAGGGTTTGAAGAGGTGGGGGGGCGGGGTGGGAGGTTGGGGGAACCAGGTGGTGGGTATTAGAGAGGGCACGGACTGCATGGAGCACTGGGTATGGTACAAAAACAATGAATACTGTTATGCTGAAAATAAATTTTAAAAAAGTGATTAGAGGTAAAATAAAAAAAAAATCTAGTATTATCTGGGACCCCGAGAGAAAATACAAACAACCCATTTCAGTCTTGCTAAGCCTCTAGAAGGCACTGCCTAAGAGAAAGCAGTTTACTTCCTTGAAGGAGGGCTCTAAAAAGCCAGGGGTGTTGCCAAGTGCCCCTCTGCTAATGGCAGAATTTCAGGGGTGGACACCACCCCTGAGACTAGGGAGGTAGGCCAGAGACTACCCCCAGAGACTAGGAGGTAGGCCAGTGTTGCCCTCTCATGCGTGCAATAGGGGGCAACCAGAGGCCCCAGATGGAGTTAACCATTTATTGGTCTTGTACCAACCAACAGACTGTGCAAGCTCTAATAGTCACTGGCTGAATGCACACTTACCTATGGAGACACTTCAAAATTTGGGGGAGAAATAAAGGCAAAAAGGGTAGTAAGATGAGTACAGGCTTTAGGGATATTAATGCCAAATGTGAGCTGTGAATTGAATGTAACTTCACATCCAGAAGGGTTTGGCTGGGGCTTGTGGCAACAACAAAATGGGAAATCAATTATAGTTATTTGTGTAAGTTCAATAAGAACGTGGTCTTGTAGCAGGACACCACTGGAAGAAAAAGTTCTTTTAACAGGACATTGGAAACAGTGGTTATATTACCAAGGCTGCGACTGGAAGGTGAGACCAAGGTTGATGTTGAGAAGGGCTAGCTTTTCCATGCCTGAAGAAGTTACCCCACTTACAGATACCTTATAAAGTCTTTCCACTGTGTTCTAAACTAGAGCTGACCAGGTCCCACTCCACCAAATCCCCAGTTCTCCCATGACATTAATCAGTGTTTCCTGAAAAGAGTTGTTCCGTGGTCAATTTTGGATTAATTTTTTTTAAATTGGCTAAATAAATTTCAGTGTTCCTCAAGCCTGGTGAGCATCATGCATGTCCAAGACGTGGATATATCCAGTATTTCTCTAACTTATTAATCACAAATTCTTACAGAGAAGTATTAACACCGAGAAGACTGGTGCTCTAGAATTTCATTTTTCCTCCTTTGGGGGATAGGTAGGATATTAAGAAGTCAAAGTGGAGATGCGGGAGGTGAAGAGAAGGACCCCTTTCCAGTCCACTGCTGCATCTTAAACAAATAGCCCAGCTAATAAGCCTAAAGCTGAAAATGAATAAATGGATGAAAAAATCACTTAAAAATATGGTGCGAAGAGTTTATAGGTTTGCTAATCATGTTTCTACCTGCCTGGAGGTCAAGGCCTCTGGCAAAGTTGACAGTTTCTCAGTGGCCAGAAAACGTTATCTTTGAAACTGTCCTGTTTGGGGCTCACAAGGTAAACATTCTAGGCACCTAGTTTGGAATCGTCTTCAGGTCAGCTGATAACTCTGCGGGGGCAGGTGAGGAGGTGTGCAGATACCAGTAAGACACCATTTGGTTATGGAGAATATACTCAAAGATCTCTAAGGCAACTGTGGCCTTCAGCCGGTAAAAGTCTGTGTGTGTTTAAGAAAAACAAAAACAAACAAACAAAAAAAACCTCGAAGACCTCTGGGGCCAATTTAAATCTACTCCTTGATCTGAGAAGAAATGAAAAGTATTTATCTTCCTCCTGCATATTATAAAAATGTCAATTCAACCCTCAACTTCTAAGTTCTGAGGTTAAAATAACTGGGATTTAACATCTCATCTGGCTTTCTTTTCCTTTTAAGATCAACCATTTCCCTACCCAGTATCATTTTAAAGCTGAAGAATCAAACTGAGTCTGACAACCATCATATGTTTCATTTTGCTAAAAACTAGAAATGTGGATAAAGCAGATGAATCTCCCAAGCGGATTGACCATTCATCCAGGAAAGGAACTTTTATTTAACAATATGCTACCATTTAGGGCAATTTTAAGGCACAGAAAAAAAAAAACAAAAAACAAAAACCGGTATAGCAACAAATAAAACTACATGCTATCAAAATCATAATAACACAGCTTAGTGTTGCATATAGATTTTCTAACAGCATAATACTGATTTGTATATGTGTAATGGACACATGTTACCTAAGTTTCAGCTGTACAGCATAGTGATTTGACAAGTTTATATGTAATGTTACGCTCACCACAAGTATTGCTACTATCTGTCCCATTACATTGCTATTACAGTATCATGGATGGTCTGCCTTCTGCTTTTTACTCCCATGGTTCACTCGCTCCATAACTGGAGCTCTGCATCTCCTCTACCCTTCACATATTTTGCCCAACTTCCCATTCCCCTTCTGTCTGGCAATCATTAGTTCTCTGTATTTATAGGTCTGATTCTTTTATTTATTTTACATTCTGTTTATTAGTGGAATCCTAAGTCAGACTAAGAAAGACAAATACCTTATTTCATTTAATACCTTCCAGGTCCATCCATGTTGTCACAAATGGCAAGATCTTTCTTTTATAGCCAAATAATATTCCACCGTGTGTGTGTGTGTGTGTGTGTATAAAGATGTGATAAATATCTATCACATCTTTATCCATTTATCAGTGCACACTTGGGCTCCTTCCATGTCTTGGCTATTGCAGACAATGCTGCAGTAAACACAGGGTGCATATATCTTTTCAAATTGGTGTTTTCCTTTTCCCTGTGTAATCACCCAACAACGGAATCATATTATTGGATCATATGGTATCTCTATTTTTGACTTTTTGAGGCACCTTCATACTGTTTTCCACAGTGGTTGCACCAGTTTGTGTTAGCACTAGCTAACAAAAGGGTTCCTTTTTCTCTATATCCTTGCCAACACTTGTTGTTTCTTGAATTTGACTTTTGCCATTCGGACAGGTATGAGGTGATACCTCCCATGGTTTTGATTTTTGCACTTCCCCCAAGATTACTGATAGTGAGCATTTTTAATGTGTCCGTTGGCCATCTGTTTGTCTTCTTTGGAGAAATGTCTATCCAGGTGCTCGATTTTTTAATCGGATTGTTTTTTGCTGTAGTAGGACTTCTTTACATATTTTGGATATTAACCCCTTATTGGATAGATCATTTGCAAATATCTTCTCCCATTCAGTGGGTTGTCTTTTTGCTTTGTTGATGGTTTCCTTTGCTGTGCATGTTTCCTTTCATTTTGATGCAGTCTCAATAGTTAATTTCTGCTTTTGCTTTCATCTTAGGAGACATACCTAGAAAAATATTGCTATGGCTAATGTCAGAGAAATTATTGCTCAAGCTCTCTGCTCAGATTTTTATGGTTTCAGGTTTCATATTTGGGTCTTTAATACATTTTGAATTTGTGTGTATGGTGTTAGAAAATAGTCCACTTTCCTTGTTTTACATGTTGCTATCTAGTTT